AGGGGTCCTAAATATTTATGAATAAAATAACCAGATTTGAAGAACCTGACCATCACAAATGTCTAACCCAGGAGACGAGACTTTGCTAAGTGACTTCTACTGGAGGCACTGATTGAATATGGATAAAAGAAGGGGCCTTGCAAGGAACTGCTTCACACAGCAGAGAGAACCACATGAACAGCTACTCTGGACTCCCGGTTGCCACCTGCTGAATAGAAAGGGGGGTCAAAGAAAAATATTAACTCTGAACATGGAAAATCGGGGTGTTTTGGTCTTTTTCACTCTGAGTAAAAACCCATACAATCTTTCTGAGTGACCTATGTTTAACTTTATTTCACCTTGATACAACTGACTGATCTTTTCCCATCACACAAAGTGCTCAGGAATTTCTGCAGTTTCACAGAATTCACCTAATTATTTAGTCAGAGAAGATTAAAAATGGGGAAAGCCCAGAAAGGCAGACCTTTCTCTCCCATGTCCCCATAATACTATAATGTAGGTGAAAGCCAGATTACATAGCCATGCAGATTAAAATTAACTACAACTGTTAATAAAATTAATGAATAAATGACAGTGAGTAATTATCATAACATGCCAGTCAATCCAAGGACCAAAATGTCCTTCGAGATACTTGCAAATGATACTGAGGTCAATTATGAGAGTGGAATCATTGCATAATGTTTTATCTGGAATGAATATTTCTGCCAATATCTGCGGAGATTATGTATAGAACAGAGGGGAAGAATTATAGGGAGGTGAAGGACACTGTAGTGAGGAATTATTGTAGTACAGAAAGACATTGAATAATTAGCGGGCCACATATGAAATTGATGGGAAGGACTGTACTTTAACTCATTAGCTTTGAAAGACACAAGATTGCTTAAGGAGTTTAAGAGGCAAAGCCAAATCGCTAAGTTACCAGCTTGCTGCCTGTAGGAAAGAGCAATGTCACAAAATGAGATAAAGGATTCAGGTAATTATTTGCTTACATATAGCGCCACGACACAGAATAACATTATGTCATCCAAAACTCTTCTGGAGAATTCTGATTATCTTTATTTCTAAGTACATTATTTTATATCAAATCACTCACTAATTAAAATGATTTTGTTTGTTTTACATGGAAAGTCAGGTTGGATAGAGTCAAAGGCAAAGGCAGTGAGCCACAAGAACCTAGTTTATGAGCCTTAAAAAGCATTTACAGAAGATCCAACAAGCAATCTGAATTTTGGCTAGGGATGGTTTTCTACTTGGATGGAATAAAACAGAACTTACATATTCTTTTTTTTGCTTTTTTGGGGGCACACCTGGTGATACTCGGGGGTTATTGCTGGCTTTGCACTCAGTAATCACTCCTGGCAGTGCTCAGGGTAGCATATGGGATGCTGGAAATTGAACCCAGGTTGGCTGCATGCAAAGCAAACGCCCTACCCGCTGTACTGTTGCTCCTGCCCAGTACTTACATATTCTTGAGCTTCCTGATGCACCTATCCTATGTTAATAGCATACTTATTTTTAAGCTTTGATTCCAATAAGAGATCCATTGTTAAAATAGGGCCATACAAGGGTTCAAAAGTACTCAGCTGACGTTTTGCCTTCGAAGCTATTCTGTATCTGAGAAAGGCTGCAGGCAATAGGGAGCCCCAAACTCAGAAGTTCCTTGGCCTAACTTTCCCAATTAATTTCTCTACTTTTCCCAATGATTAGGATGCCAGGCTGCATGGAGCTGCATGGAGCTGATTGTTTTTCAGGCAGAGACTAAATCTTGGTAACTTAGAAGTGAAAGATGCACCATTGTCAATTTGCAGTGACCTGGGTAAGCTAAATCTAGGGACTGTTTCCTTAGGCAATACTTGAGACATTTCTTTGGCTTTCTCAGTTCAGGAGTGAAATGCTTCTACACATCGGGCCAAGGTATCAATAATCAATAACTATTTATACCCGAGTAGGCATTTGTATTAAGTGATACTGTCAGTTCTACCCTGGGCAGGTTCCTCAATGCTGAACAGGTGATACCAGGAGAGGGGATTCAGGAATCCCATTCGGTTCATTAATAACACACAACAGGCTCTGAATTACTTTGTTACTGTTCTATTCTGTGCCTTCCCACATGGAAGATATATTTTACCAATACTGTTAAAGCATCTCTTCCTAAGCGAGAGGCCTCATGTAATCTTTTAACCATTTTCTACTGCATTGGACTAGGATAAAATACCTTTCATTCTTTAATAAAAATACCCATCAGCTTCCTTTTGAAAACTCAGTGCAGTGCCCATTGTTCCTTTCCTTCAGAGTATTCTGGTTTAATAGAAACTGTCTCTGAATGGAGTATAAGTCCCATAATGTAACAAAAATTAAGGGCAGTATTTTTTATCTATGGCATCCACTTGGCAATTTTCCTTAATTATCATACCATCTCCTTTTCTGATCAATTATTACTCAAATGGAAGGGACCTTTTCAAGTTATCTTAAGCACTCCCATGGCTATAAAACTTAATTAAATTTCTAGTGGGTTCATCTCTCTTGGGGAAAAAAAATCAGCAACATATAAATCATCTAGTGACCATACCCAAAGAGTATATCAAAGTACTGATGTGAACTCATAGAGGATTTGAAACTTCTCTTTACGAGAACCCAACACTGAAAGTTAACTTATATGTCTGTAAGCTTCAGACATTTCTTTACAGGTGGTTAGTAAAAGCAGAAACTGTACGTTATTTTATCAGCATGCAAAAGAAAGGAACAGAAACTTAAACTCTGGCCTTAGTTTGTTTCCTTCCTTGAGCCAGGAAACCTTTTCATCTCCAGGGTCTAATTTATTTAAAAGTTGCCTAATTTGCAACCACTTCTCAGCATGAAGAAGTTACAGAACAGACCTTCATCTGTGTACCCTTAATTATTTAGGAGGAAGAAATCTCTCGGGGTGGGAGGAGACTCAGGCAAATATGCAGGGTCGGGGGCTTTTGAGAAATAGTAAAATTGAAGACAAAATTACCAAGCCTGAAGTAGTCCAAGTGCATGAAAACCGCATCTCTTTTGATATACAAAACTGAGCTCTTTGGGGATGGGGAAATTGAGGCAGGACCTAGGATGCATAAATCTAATGTTCCATCTAGAAAAGGTTGGACCCCTTAGAAAATGAAAAAAATACAAAAAAATCTGCTGTAATTTCCTTTAAGTTATAAATCTATTCCTTTTATTTCTTCATCCCTGGAAGAGTTTTTAAAACTCTTCTATTTTCTATATGCTAGGAATAATATAATTAATTATGATGCTTCAGCTAATATTATTTAAATACAAACCAGAGCAATATAAAAATGTAGAATAGTCTATCTTCATAATCTGCAGAGTTCAGGGAATGCATATGAAATACAGCATCTTAGAGGCAAGGCAAGATCAACTTTATAAAAGGATACATATGGGAAATTAACTTTTGTAGCCTGCAAATGCCAGAAATAAGCTACTGATTCTCTAAGGCAAGAAAAATTTTAGATACTATTCTACAACATAATTGCTATTGATTTCTTAGTTACACTTTCCAGTTCCCAGCTGACAGATTTTCTATATAATCTTACTTTTATTTCCAATTATGTTATTATAGAGATGAGAAACAGGTCTAATTAAATAACAACATGACAGTAATAGATGTTTCTTTATCTGTATAAACTATAAATTTAATTCCAATAAAGGAGTAAAAAGAGTGCTTCAGTTAAAAAAAATTGTAGCTCTTTATGTCTATCAATTGACTAGAAAGAAATTCCAATGCACTTACATGTTCTCATCCAAACCTACTTATCTGTAGGTCATATTATTTTTATCACCAAACATTTATTAAACATCTATCATCTAATACTTTCCAGGAGCTTTTTATTCAAATGCTAGGATACTGAGCTACAAAAATTGTGCCCTCAAGATGAGACACATTGTATTAAATAAAATGGGGATAGCATTGAATTATCTATGATCAATATTAAAAGTTACATTGTGCAAAGGCACTAATGCATCTCCTGAATAACTACTTACTGCATTCGGATATGTCTGCCATGTGCTATCAATACAAAAGCATACAATACAGTTAGTCATTGTATTGTAGTGTGAGAAAAAAGTCTCAATTCAGATTGCATAAATGTTGTAACTATGTTAGATAGATTATAGCAAAAGAATACATGATTGTATGCAATCATATAATATATTGTTTTAATTAGTACATTCATCAATCTGTTAATGCATATTTGTGTTTGTGATCAAGGCTAATTTAATCATATTTTTACAATAATTCAAAATAATTGGAAGTTCTAAACTGCATGTCTAATATTTGAAACTTATACTTTGGCTATTCCATAATATTTGATTAAAGCTATCACTTTTAATATGATTACAAGTCAAACATCTTTGATCCAGTTAATTATATTTAGATGAAGAGGTATATTTATATAGGTTTATATTTATTTTTAAAGCAAATAAAAAATTAAAACTGTTCAACTTAAATTATCCCATTTTACAGTTTGAAAATTTCATTTTCTTCTTTTTTCTTTCTTTTTTCCTTCTTTCTTTGTTTCTTTTTCTCTCTTTGTTTCTCTCTTTGTCTTTCTTCTTTCTTTCTTTCTTTCTTTCTTTCTTTCTTTCTTTCTTTCTTTCTTTCTTTCCCTTCCTTCCTTCCTTCCTTCCTTCCTTCCTTCCTTCCTTCCTTCCTTCTTTCTTTCTTTCTTTCTTTCTTTCTTTCTTTCTTTCTTTCTTTCTTTCTGTTTTTGTGCTTTCTGGGTCTTACCTGGTGATGCTCAAGTGTTACTTCTGTACTCAGGAATTAGTCCTGGCAGTGCTTGAGGGACAGGGCATCAAACTCAGTCACCGTCCCCTCCACAGGCCCTCCCCCCCGCACACTGTACTATTGTTTTGGGCGTCTTCTGAAATTTTCATGTCTTAAGCAACTTCTTGACCAATATAAAATGCCAGTAGCAATAACTATTTTGATTATACCCTTATGCTCTATGGATAGTTACCTGTATGACACTGTCCCCAGGTTTCATATCTGTATAGACATAGACATCATAAGATATTTCAGGGAAGGTTGGAGTATTATCATTGGCATCCATCACCCGGATATTAACAGTAACTGGCTCACTTTCTTGCACTCCATCAAATGCTGTAATCTTTGGGAGGCAGAAAAATATTAAATAGATTAAAACAGAAGTCATGCAAATATAAACAATAGAAAATTGAAGCTGGCCATATAAGAAGTTTCCTATGGGTCAAGTATATAGTTCAAAGAGACAGAACACATGACTGGCATGAATTGGGTTTCAGTTCATTTCTGTCTACCACATGATGTCCTAAGCACTACCAGAGGTAGCCCTGGTGATGCCCAGCAACACTCAGAAGGTACAAAAGAGTTTTGTACATGTAATTTACAGATTTCAAAGGTACTAAATTTTTGTGGACAAACAGTGATAATAAAATTAAATATGCACATGTAGTCAAAGTTCTTCAATGTTCTAAGAAATAGTGAGAATTCTAGATTACTTTTAAAGCTCTCAATTCATGTAATTTTTAAATAAAAAGGTAGGCAAAGCTACCTTAGAAAATTAAAGTAGTTCAAAAGCATTGCTTATTTTTAGTTACTACAATTTTCACAAGTGTTAGAAAAGTATTCTATATTTTTGCTTTATTCATTGAACAGTTATTTATAGAGTCACTATGTTTAATAAGTTAGTGAAGAAGTGTCCCTACAGAGATAATAACCTCTTCGAGAAATTAAAACGGTGACTTTTTTGTGGGATGCCACACAAAGTGGTGCTCAGGGCTTACTCCTAACTTAAAAACAACTAACATAAGTCAGTACGAAGAGGACCATATAGAGAGCCCAGGACTAAACTAAGGTTGATTCTGTGCAGAGTGAGTCCTCTGTCCACTATTCTTCAGCCACACAAAATTGCAGCCTTTAAAGAAATCATTAAGTTTTGAGCAATATTTAAATTACATTATTGACTTTTTACTACCTGAAAAATAAAGTGAATGCCACAAACATTCTTATTTTGTGTGACTTCTAAATTAATCCTGTATCTAAGATTTAACTGTGGCACATGGTTTTCTGATTCAATCTCATCTTCTGTTGATATTTCTCAAATAAGATTAAATATACTACATCAACTGTTTTTTGTTCTGTCATATATACATTTGTCTTTTTCCTAGCTCATGATAACTCTTTGTTTTCACATGAATAATATTTCTTTTTCTTTTTCTATTTTACTAGGCTCCTATCTAGGATTTATCTTTTGAAGTACTACTAGTACTAGTGCTACAATTTCCCAGTTGTAGTACTACAATTGGACTAGATCCTGCATTGTTGAAGAAAGCTGTCCTTTAGAAACATCCTTGTGTTTACTGGGCACCAGCAGCAAACCACTCACTCTGACAGTGTTAACACGAAAAAATCTCTAGAGGTATTCCAAATTTGGGGGAATAGGAAGTGTAATGGGAACCATTCCCAGATGAGAACCACTATGATACTTTAGTTGTGGATTCCAGTTTATAAAACAACTAACTTAAGTCAATCATTAATGTATGGTGAAAAATAAAATTCAAATTTGATTGTTTTCATTACTAGTATTATTTTATTTCTATGTCTTTCTTATATACAAAACCATAGAAATATAAGCAGAAAAAGGAGAAATAATTTTCATCATTGAAAATTATAAGCAGAAAAAGGTGAAGAATTTTCATCATTGATATTCTTTATGGTATTACTTGAAAGTTTTACAGGTTAGTCTCAAGTCATAGACCTTTTAAGTTTTAATAATAGATAAATAAGCAGGTAGATAAAAAAGTAGAAATGGGTATATTGAAATATAAAATGTTTTTACCGAAAAAGTGTAAGTTTGCTGTTCTTCCCTGTCCACTGGTTGAAGTAAGGTGAGGTAGCGAGTGATACCAGTCTGTGTGACAGTGAAGACTGAAGTGTAGTCATTCAAAAAGAGGTGAAGCTCTGGGTCTTTGGTCTTCAAAAAAGAAACAAACCATTAATTGAAATGCTGAATTATAAGGGAATATATACTTATTGCCCATAAGTGACTTCAATTATAAAATTTGCTTAACTATATTGAGAAATTCTAAATAAAATAAGTATTTAAGTATTTACTCATAATTAAATAAAACTTTTCAAATACAATGGCTATTATGGGGAAAATACGATAAATCAGAAAATGATCTGATTAAGTAAATGTAAATTGTTTCATGCTTTCTAGGATTCACAGGACTTTAGAAATAAGAATAAATTGAAGAATGTCAATTTGGAAATGTTTAGGCAAATTGCCACTACAAATGAACAAATATATTTATAAGAGTCAGTTTTAGATATGATATATTATGAATATAAATGAAAACATAATATTCTGTCTTGATGTTACAACAGCACTGTAGCACTGTCCTTCTGTTGAATATTACAAAATGGACAGTAAATCTTTTGCAGTCTTTTAGTAAATAAATTAATTCTTCATGGTCCCAACATAAGGTAATGTAATTTAACTCTGTAGTACATATTGTCTACCAAAAGTATGACAGATTATGTATTTTCTTCTGGAAGGGCAAATGAATCCTGAAAGACATTCACAGCAAATAAAAAACTCAACAGACACATAAATATTCCAAGCAAACTTAAGCATTAAATTGCATCATGAAGGAGTTAAGGATTTAAATATGATAGTTTATAAGATTTGAAACAAAATTTTATTTTCTGATGTTAATCTGATTCTGATAGCACACACAAGAGTATATGCGTCCTTATGCACACACACAAACACACACCAATATATGTATATATTTATACATATATATGTTTACATACAACTAAAATATGTGCATGGTACCTATTTATGCAAATGTGCATATACACATTATGTGCATATTTTATGACAAAGCATAAAAAAATGACAAACATATAAACTCATCTGCCAATTTGGATTCAGAGACAATAGTTTCTGAAGATAACTTATTCAAACAAGTTCAGACAAAAGCTTAGAATATTTCTGAAAGATTCTGGTGATGTTATGCTAATGTTTGTCAAGAACTGAAAAAATTAATGAATTTTCTTTTATTTCATAAGCAACATTATATGCTTACTACTTTTATAACACAGTACAATGTAATTATATTTCAATTGTTTCTATATGTGTAATTATAGTAGTAATAGATCTCTTTATTATAATTGATCATGAGTAAGGTCCTACTTGTTTTACTTATGTATTCATTTTGTTTGGGGGCCACACCCATTGGTGCTCAGGGATTACTTCTGGCTTTACCCTTGGGAATCACACCTGGTTGTGCTTAGAAGACAATAAGGGATACCAGGATTGAACCTGGATAGGCCACATGCAGCACATGAGTCACATCAACTGTACTATCACTCTGGCCCCTGTACTACTTGTTTTAGTGGAATAAAAAAATAGTAAGGAAATTGATCACAGCAATTAGCATAAAAGCAAACACAATATAACGCCTATACCTACAGGAACTCCACCAGGTGGAACCTATATGAAAATTAAACATTAAATACAAAATGTAAATACAAATGAGCACAAAAATACATGTGACATAAAGGTTTACACTGCGTTAAAAATATGATTTATTATACATTTAAACAAACAAAATATTCCAAGGTATTTTCCCCTAATATTCTGACACATCATAACATACATATTGTAGAGAAACAATGTTAATAAAACATATCAAAACATTACAACATTATCAGAACACTATATTATATTTCAATAATAACTTTTAAACAACAATACTACTTAGAGATGTGAATTCACATGGAATTATAAGTGAGGCATTGCCCTTTTACAAACTAAGTACATAATTTCTGCTGATTATTGTTTCCTGTTCTTTTTCTATTAATGTATTCAACCGTTTGTGATTCTCTAAGTCAAAACATGGTGATCTTAGATATGACCCACAAATTTGATATTTTACCTGCTTTGCTTATATCCTGGGCTATCTTAAAACTTTAAGAAAATTGCACCTGAAAAAATAAATAAGTGCGATTCTTATATGTGTGTATATGTATACATATGCATATATATACCTCTATATTTTTATTAAAAAGGGAAAATTAGTAAAAATATAGTTTTAGAGCATGGTGATGCATAACATTTCTCTGACTCAAAATATACACTGCAAATCATAAATAAAATTCTTATCCACCAAGATATTTCTTAAAAATTTGTATTATTTTTTACTGAATTTTATGAAGCACAACATAATTTTAGGACAAAGAGATTTATGTTTGACCTCTTCTTAGAGTTTGCCATCTGGCATGACAGTTTTGTTTTTGTTTCTTTTTCTGGGAAAAGAATGTATAGGTACTAACTGCTTATGCTCAGGGACTATCTATTTCTGAATTTGGAGTGCTCAGGAGTGACCTCTGGTGACTTTGGGGGTGATAATATGATGTGCTGGGATCCAACAGAAGGTAAGGCAAGTATCTTACTATTCCCACTCTTTCACTAGACCAAGCATTGTTTATTATTATTATTATTATTATTATTATTATTATTATTATCATTATTATTATTGCTTTTTGGGTCACAGCCGGCGTTGCACAGGGGTTACTCCTGACTCATGCACTCAGGAATTACTCCTGGCAGTGCTTGGGGATAATACGGGATGCTGGAAATCGAACCTGGGTTGGCCGTGTGCAAGGCAAATGCCCTACCCGCTGTGCCATTGATCCAGCCCCCAAGCACTGTTATTCTTTTTTTTTTAATTTTATTGAATCACCGTAAGATAGTTACAAGCTTTCATGTTTGGGTTACAATCACACAATGACCAAACACCCTTCCCTCCACCAGTTCACATTCCCCACCACCAATATCCCTGGTATAACCTCCTTTCCCACCCTTCCCCTGTCCCGATGGCAGACAATATTCCCCATACTCTCTCTACTTTGGTGCATTATGGTTTGCAATACAGACACTGAGAGGTTATCGTATTTGGTCCTTTATCAGCACACATCTCTTCTTTTTTTCCCAATATATGATGGCATCAAATTTATTATTTTTGTATATATTAGTATAATTTATTTGATTGTATTTTTTTATTTTTATTAGTGAAACACCATGAGGAACAGTTGTAGACTTACAAATGTTTATGCTTGGGTTTCAGTTATACAATGCACGAGCACACATCTCTTCTTAATAACTGAAAACCAACTCTGGCAGAAACAAAGTCCCTGAGCATCACCTTCAACCTTCCTGCTGGTGACACCTAGTTGAAGTCTGGTCACACTTCCAGTACAATATGACCACATGCAGCTCTATCAGACACAATAACTACTGGACATTTTTATCATCATAGATATTACTATCAGACAACACTGTAAAGAGAGAGCAATTACTAAAGTGAGACTTTTCACCTAACAAGTGAAAGATATCAAATGCAAAATATGTTTTAAAATGTATTGGGGGAAACTATGCAATAGCTCACAGAATCCAAAGGCAATTTCTAGGAACTAGAAACTGAACAGGACTCTCCTCTCTGTGTTACCCTGTCAGGCTTCACTCCCGCCCCCTTATAATGCACTTTCTCCTCCATGTCAGCATCTTGGCAACAATAGTTTCCAATTAATTTCCTCTTCTTTACTATGACACTGAAGTTTCCACCTACATTTTTCCCCTTTCAAATCCTGTGAGAGCTCTCACTGACCTGTTACAGATTTTCTGTCCACTTTTTTAAGCAGTCTGGCTAACGAGATAAAATACTCTGCCCAGCAGGAACCGTCTCCCACTCCTGCGACTGGTGTTAGTGCCAGAAATACAGCACCAGGGTGTGTGGGATTGGTAAGGGTTAGCATCAGTGTAGCCAATGGCACAAGTGGATGGGTAAGCTCCACCGCAAAAGGTACTTTCTTTAATAAAATGCCATCAGCCTGAAAGAAAAGTGTTCCAAAATCGTATTCTAGGGCAAATTCATTATTTTTTATACTTACCCATTGTTTTCACTATCAGCACTTATATCAACTGTGTTTAACCCATGTTAATTAAAAATTACCTTTGTGGTATAGCAAACTCTAAGTGATATATTTTTGTCTTTTATAGTCTCTACTCGGATTGGGACTGGGCCTTCTCCACCAAGACCCCCATCTTCCAGTAGGTAGGTGTCACACCCACCAGCTGCTGCCAGCGCCAGGTTGGTCGCATCAACGGCCAAGACGCAGAGACTATAAAACCCAGATCCCAGAGGAGAATAGCGCAGAGTCTCCTGCCGCCACGCCTGGCTGTCCTCACCGGGCCCCCTTGGAGGAGGAGGGTTGAGTTTCTCTCCCCCCACCCCCCACCCAAGCAGAGCTCCAGCAGCTGAGAACCTCCGGAGCCAGCCACGGCCATGCTGGGACCACTCTCCACACATCCGGACGGGCCTCATGCATGAACGAACTGACAGAGGAACCCAGGCATGCGGGTCCTGGGACTGAGGTCTCCAAGCCTACACGGATTGGGACAGGGCCTTCTCCACCCAGACCCCCCATCTTCCAGTAGGTAGGCATCACACTCACCAGCTGCTGCCAGTGCCAGGTTGGTCCCATCAACGGCCAAGACGCAGACTATAAAACCTAGCTCCCGGAAGCATGCAGCTGCATTTGTGGCTGTGCGACATCTTTTTATCTTATTTTTCCTTTGGGGTACCTGGAAGGCTACCAAAAGTATCCTGCCTGCACGGCAGAGTCTGGTAAACTTCCCGTGTCATACTCAATATGCCAAATATCAGTAACAATGATGGGTCTCATTCTCCTAATCCTGAAAGAGCATTGAAATGGCTCTTTTAAAATTTCAGGGCTAGGAAGAAGGAGACGTTAGTCGTGCCTGCTCGAGTAAATCGATGAACAACAGGATGATTGTGATCGTGATGAATAGAAGAAGAGATATAGTCATAAAACAAACAGCAAAATTTATGTTTACTTACATCTTCAATATCCTTGTCCAGAGCTACTATTCTTAGCGGAGTGGTCAAATTCAGACTGTCAGAAATGGTTGCTCCAACTGGGGCAGATTCCAGGATATAGCCTTGATAACTGGGCATTGTAAAATATGGGCTCTGATTATTTTCATCCAATATTTCAATATGTAGACTGGCAAAAGCAGGAAGAGGATGACCGTTGTCCTGTTCAGCCTAAAAAGGTGAACAAAATTTTAAACAATGATCCTTTATTGATCTTCTTGGAGTATTGTTTTTTATTCTTTACATAGGGATTCTCTTAGGACTGGTAACATTACAGAGGGGGAGGAGAAGTCCTTAAAAACACAAATGAGGAAATGGAATTTTCAATAATTGTTTAATCTCCTGTCTTTAAACACGGTGTATATATTGTTAAAAAAAATCAAAACACAAATAAATTAAGTATTCTTAGAGCATTGAACATTAAGGAATTTGAATTAAGTGCCAATAAAATATTTAAATAAAAACCATAATATAACCATATTGAAATACAATGTTACAATTATTATTTCTTATCTATGACATCTCCTTCCACCCTAATGATTAAATTAACAGATCTATATAAATTACAATTTATGACATAAAATGTGGCTTATTTTATAATTCTAATTCGAATTATAATTTCTAATTATAATTCTAATTTGAAATAGTATTTGGCTAATTTAAAATTTACATTATCATACTTAACCCATTTCTGAAATAGTTTTACATGAGCATAAATTAAAAATAATTATCTGTAGATTTTAAAAGTTTGATGACTATTTCAATATATTATATCTGTGTTTCCAATGTTTATATGTGAATGCTCATATTTTAAATATTTGAGGTATTTCAAATATTTATATATTCCCATATGTTAGATTTCCATTCATAAAATTTATGGATGTAAATATTCATTCGGGAGCAGGTTACCAAAGTTTTCAATGGCATAAATACATATGAGACCCTGATCTACTTTAAGTATAATACCGGGATAATGTCATTTTTTTTAAGCTCATATATCCTTCTTCACAATAACATATGTGTTGCTGACACCAACAGTACAGATACTTTTTGTAGTCAGTCGTTGCAATTAATTTATGCTGAGTTGCAGTGTTCTTCCAAGACTTCCTGCTGTGACAATACAACAGACATAATGAACAAGGTTGACCTGAACAAGAGGTAGGATCTTTAACTAGAAAACATTACTTTATAGTAAGTAAAACTAATTGTTCCATGTGAAGTGCCAATTCACTGACCCTAACTTAAGTAGCACTGAAGCACTGTCCTCCTGTTATTTATCGAGTTGCTCTTGCTCGAGCGGGCCCAGTAACATCTCCATTGTGAGACTTGTTATTACTGTGTTTGGCATATCGAATAGGTCATGGGGAGCTTGCCAGGTTTTGCAGTGCGGGCGAGATACTCTCGGTAGCTTGCCGGGCTCTCCGAAAGGGGCGAAGGAATTGAACCTAGCTCAGCTGGGCTGGCGGCGCGCAAGGCAAACGCCCTATCGCTGTGTTATCACTCCAGTGGACTATTTAATTCAAGCAAGTCATTGTGAAAATAATTTTTTCTTCTTCCTTTTATTTTACATCCAATTATTTCAAAAGCCATTATGTAATATTTTGGGTATATGAATATGCAAGATAGAAAATTTTATAATTCATCTCCCAATCCCAATAATTACAGATATATAATTCATATATGGTATGGAGAAAATACAAGTATATGTGGTATAGCAATGAAAGAATCTTGTAGTCTGAATTGAGTTCATAAGATTTTTTTGATGTTTAATATTAACTGAAAAAAATCAGACTAAAATATTTTTATGATGAAAACAAAGTGGCTTAATAAAACATAAAACTATTTCAGGTAGAGGAAAAGGGCCCTTGGTAACGTACATGAGGAGAAAAACAATGTCTGGAACCTAAACCAGCCCAGAGGTATGTAGCTGCACCTTTGATTTTTTGTTTGTTCTTGTTTGGGGGCCACACCCAACAGTTCTCAAAGCTAACTCCTAATTCTACATTATAGGATCACTTCTAGCATAGTTTAGGAGACCATATGGAGTGCCAGGAATTAAACCTATGTCATCTGCTCCCAGGGGACCTAACTATTGAACTATTGCTCAGGTCCCTGAAGGATATTTGAGACACAGTGCCTACTTGAGGATACATAGAAAAACTATAAGATGCTGAATTCCAGAGCCAGAGCATAGCTGGATATCCTGTGAGCAGAAGATCCTCCACTGGAAAAAAAAGGCAAGACTGAAAATAACAATATATAAGGATGTATAAGACTACATATGTATGTATGCACATGTATATAACATATATATCTCACAGAATACATATGAATGTATGATATCAGAGAGATAGTACGGCAGGTAAGGAGTTTGCCTGGACCACAGGGCCAAGCCAAGGTTGTCAGAGCTGACTTTCAATCATAGATTCCCTAGATTTCATAGATCAATCCTAGAGTCCCTCCCCACGTACCCACCCCCAGGTCACTGATATGAAAAGAAAGGGAAGTGGAACATTCACTTTCTCCAGGCCACCATCTTTCTCCCCACTTCACAAAAGCCACCCAGGGAACCTTACTTCAGGCAGGACTTACGTCATCCACTTGTAACAAAACACCGTGAAACAGTGTTCTCCAGTTGTTCATCGATTTGCTCAAGCGGACCCAACAACGTCTCCATTTTGAGACTTGTTGTTACTGTGTTTGGCATATTGAATACATCATGGGTAGCTTGCCAGGTTTGCCGTGCGGACGAGATACTCTCGGTAGCTTGCTGGGCTCTCCGAGTGGGGCAGAGGAATCAAACCCGGTTCGACGGTGCTGGCCTTGCGCAAGGCAAACGACCTACTGCTGTGCTATCACTCCAGCCCACTTGTAACAAACTAATATAAAAATAAAACTAAAATGTCATGTCTTAACTAAATGACATAGAATATATTCTATTATTCTAACACGGATTTCCTGTTAAAATGATTAAGAATGTGGATTCCTACTTTTGGGTGAGGCAGGGAAAGGAGGTTCACCAGTTGGGGTATCTACCACCTGCAATTCTCAACCTGCTCAGGTCCTGCTGTATCTGGAGTTACCTGATCCACCCACTAGTGATGGAGGGTTCCTAGGCTTCATGTAGTGACGTTCAGGGAACAATGTGGTGATGGGATTTGAACTCAGGCAAGCTTTTTAATTGTTATACTGTCCCAGTTTCCTGGCACTTCTATTACATGTGAATAGTCTGCTTTCGATGTGCCATTTAGGCATCTGTCTCCAAGTCCACATTCTTCGTGCAGGGTCACCATGACTCACTAATTGGAAAATACACTTGTGTATTCCTGTTTGGGTGATCCGAATAGCATTCTTGTCCTGTTTTCATAGGGCCCCGGTCTCTGAGGGGTATGTTGGCTCAGTAAGAATGGTGGAGTCGAAAAATGTGCCTGAAGCCTGAGGTCCCTCATCCTCTAACCCACTTCTTCTACTCTCTTGAAGGCGTCCCATGACTCACTCTTCCTCCTGTGCAGTTCTGGAGTCAAGTTGATCCTCATGTTGAGTTCTCAACCCAGACACACACAGCTGCTGCATTTGAAGATGTTCGTTCTGTCGAGAGCAAACAGAACATCAGGGACTAGTTCGCTTTTCATGAACATTGTCTTGGTGAGATTCAGCTGCAGTCCAACCTTTCCACACTCACAGTCAAAGTCGGCCAGCATTTGTGCTGAATAGAAAGAGCTATGCTCGGAGTATCACGCTTCACTCAAGTGAGAGAAAAGAATCCGGAGTTCCGACCTCCATCGGACAATCGAGGACCAGGGACTGCCTCATTTGCCAAGGCGTCAAAAAATAGGACGGGCCAGACACTTAATGCGATTTGGAGACCACCTCTGGATTAGAGTTGTTACCGACTGGATTCCACAGGATGTCAAAAGGACACGTGGCCGCCCACCTACAAGATGGTCAGACTTCTTTGTCAAAACCCTGAACAAACTTGAGGCTTTTCGTGTTCCTGGAGCGAGTAGATGCCATTGGGCTACAGGGACACGACAGGGATGAATGGAGACATTACTGGCACCCGCTTGAGCAAATCGATGATCAACGGGATGACAAGTGATACAAGTGATACTTTTTTAATTGAAGTTGAAAAAGTTTAGTTTTATCTTCAATGACAAAAACGTATGTAAGTAACAAACAAGAAAGGATCCAGACTAGATCTCCTGGCTTATCCCAGCTACAGAAACAATCACTACATGTTTCTTGGATTTAGGAAAATCAAGTATACATATCTACAAAAGATTGATGGGAAAAATCATTGACTGGAAAAAAAGGAAAAATAACATAGCTATTCCTGATTTAATTACAACTGAAATATACATAAATATTGCTTTACTTTGCATTTTGTGGAGCCATGCATTAAAATGAAATCTATACTCTTCAATCTATTATAAATAAAAACTCTCAAAATTTAATTTATGCTCTTTTACTATATAATTTTAGAAACTATGATTATAAAAGACACTTTTTGAAAAACAAGATGATATTTTTAAGAGATGCTTCCTTGCAGAAGATAACCCTAATTATATCTACGAAGTACGTATTTACAAATTATATTCAAAAGCCAGGTTTATTTGGAGAATATCTGGCATATGTGCCATTGTCAATAATAAGGCTAAAAAGCAGACAAACAGCATTATATTTTATGTTACTTATTTTAAAGGGCAAAATATTGAAATAGACATGTGACTCAATTTTGAATACTAAAACAAAAAATCATTGTCAAATTCTAGGTTCCTTGCACCAGAGAACTACAAATGCACAGTATTTTTATTTATGCTGTCTAGTAAAATGCAATTTAACAAATTCCAGAATTTCTAATTTTAAAAGAAGCTTTCAATAAAACATTTATTAAAAAAACAGAAAACTTATCTAGCATTTGAATCAATTCTAGGATAGAATATTTTTCCCTACAGTCTGGAATTATTAATTGTGAATCCAGTATCCACATTCTAAATTGTGTTCATTTTGGCTATAATAACTATCTAAATTTTTCTAAGTCAACTTTATCACACCTTGATCACTTTGCTCAAATGTTACAAATTTATTTTACTCAAACACTTGTCAAAATCATCCATCACTCCTGCATCATTATTATAATTGGAGTAGCCCAAGAATTAGGTCTTAATCAT